ATATATATATATATATATATATATATATATATATATATATATATATATAATTTTTGTGAATATTTGTACATGAATATTCTTACAGACATTTCTTATATATATTTACCTGTACGTACTTATATATGTATATATGCCTCTTATATGCACACACACACATACACATACACACGCATGCATACATGCATACATAGATATATACACATATGTATATTGGCGCTATTTCTTTGTAGGTTACGCTGTTTACTTTTACTTTAAAATATAGAAATTCATTTTTTAACAAGGCGGTTAAGTTGTTGACAGGTTGACAACTCGACTGACAGATGGAAGTTTATCTCATTTTTTTTCTACGATGAACATATCTGTAAAATGTACTTGAGTAATTTAGGAAAATGTTCTCTGTAATCTAATGTTGTATTGAATGTTAGGTCGGTTGGCTTTAAATTTACTATAGTTATCGCTCTTATTTCCTGAGAATACTGTGTATGGACATCCGTATTTATAAAAATCGGCACGTTTATACACATATAAAATAACTTCAAAATTCTTTTTTAAAATATTGGTGTTCGATGAATTGTAGTAAGCTTTTCCATTTATGATTAGTATATATAATTTTTATTTATATATAATTTTTATTTAATAACAATATCACCTAACTGGAGAAAGTAAGACAGAAATTTTAAAATTTATTCTAATTAACATTTAAAGAAATGAAACAATTCTTGTAAAAATTCATTATTCATCGAAAAATGTTTCTCTTAAGACAACAGTATCCATAATTTATCTTATTTATAAAAGGAATTAAAAGTTTTCCTAATCAAATAATGCCATAGTTTTATTGCACTTTTCTTTTTACGATTCAGAGCAGATTTTTGGTAGCTAGCAGCCCTGTTTAACGAAAAGTAATTGATGACTTTAATTTTCCAAGGAGTTAAGCTCTAAAAAAATTTGATGCCTCGAAATTTCATAAAATTAGATAAGTAGCCGGGGTGAGGGTAACAGATGTAAAAAAGAAAAAGATTACAAAGATTTTCTAAAAAAAACAATTTAAAAAAAAAAATTATTTCATTCATTTGTGAATTTTGGGATGTCAACGAACACTTGTTACCACTTTTGTAATTCCAACGAATATTCGTTGTCACTTTCTTAATGCTCGTTGTAGTAGAGACTCTGTAATCGCAGATACAACTATAGTAACGCAATTGAATAATGTTGGTGTCAGAGGCCTTCGAATATCACTCGCACTAATAGCACTTGCTCGATAATACTCGCTCGAATAGTAATTTGCAAGAATTGCCAATTAAGAGTTTATGCCCACAAAATGACGCTAAAATGTCCTATACTAATTTTTGGCCACCGTGTTTAGGTAAGAAAAACAAGACTAAAAAAAAAATCGATGATTTTGATCCTGTCTAAAAAAGGATCACAAATATAATTTGATAAATAAATCTTTGACGTTAAAACTTCGTTTTTATTAAGTTTTGGGCACTTTTTACATCATGGTATGCTATCTTGTTAGCGAATCAGTCGAGTTGCCAAGGATTGCTTTTATTTCATTCTAACATGAGGAAGCCAAAACAAAGCAGATCATCTGGCGAAACGCGTCGTTAATAAATTTTCAACTTTGTATTATCATTTTCACTTTTCTTTCGGATACAGTTATACATGCTGTAAACAAATGCACACACACTCGCATATATATATATATATATATATATATATATATATATATGTCATCAGTAATGTTTTTAAACCATTTTAGCTAATGAATGTGTGTGCGTGTGTGGTGTGTTTGGTGCGCCATTCCTAATCTCCATTGCTTTGAAATCTGAAAGGGCCTGTTGAAGAGAGAAATATCTGTTTTCGATTTGCAATGCCGTTTTTTTAATTCTCGTGCAGACGTTTTTCAAAGGATTCCACACGTCGACAGAATCATCGCCATTTCAGAAGAAAATCTTTTCGCTTTTCAAATCATTCTCCCATTTCGCCTTTTCTCTTTCAAACACAACAACAATACAATTATTTTCATTCTTTCCAAAAGTATCTGAATTGCTTTCAAATTTTCTCGCCTTGAAGTTTTCGTTCTATTACTCATTGTTGTTATTATTATTATTATTATTATTATTATTATTCAACGATATTTATAACAGATTTTGTATCAATAATATCGAAACAATTGAAACTATATATATATATATATATATATATATATACGCACACACAGAGGATGAGATAGATAAATGTCGTCTAAATTACACTGACATCTCATTTTAACAGATATATTTACCAAAATTACACAGAAATATCTTGAAATAGCAAATTTATTTAATAAAATCGCCATTGACTTCAACCAAGCCTCCAGGAGATTTCGGAATCTCCTGCAACTCTTCTGGATGGTCTCCTTGTTTAAGTTGATGAATGCCGCCATAATCATTGCCTTCAGTTCATACAAAGAGATTTTTTGGTTTCTCACTAATGCGCCCTACATATAATAATCAAGAGAATTGCTGTCTGAATAGTTAGGTGGCCAGATGTAAGAGGTGATATGGTCGCAGAAATTGTCTCACAGCCACGACTGGGTGCTCCTGCTTGTATGGCATGGAGCAGAGTCCTATTGCCAGACATAGGGTCTTCCAGCAGCCACCCTCTTGACTCAGAGCAGCACTACCTTCTCAAGGTACTTGATGTATGCCTCCGTGTTGAGTCTGAGGCCCTCACCAACAAAATCAGAAGTTCTTTTCTTATTAGAACGATCAGAGTGAGAATCACCATTAGCCTCATCCAACTCTCTCCAAATCTTCTGCACTGTCCACAAACACTATGAAATGTTCACATTGGAGCTTCCGGTGCGAATTCCAAGCAGTACAGCGGGCCGTTTCCAAATTTCTGGCAGAGTGAATTGTGTCATTATGCGCTTTTTCACACAGACTCTGCCCAACTGACCTTACTATACTGTGCAGCCGACAAAATCAAAAAGAAACAACGAGCATGCGCGGAATTAAAAATATAAAATGGCGACAATTTACCCATTGCAATCTGTGTATATATATATATATATATATATATTATATATATATTTATCAATCCACCCACGGGGATCGAATGTGGCACAAGGCCTTTTTAATGTGGGTATCTCTGAGCCCGTAGGCCCAGCCAAAAAAAATAAATAATTATCCAAACCCGCCGAGGCGGGCCAGTTCCGTCAACCTCCCCCAACGAAACCCTACCCTTCGGCGGAGCTTCGTCCGTTCCCCTCTGCAAGCAGAGAGTTCGATATATATATATATATATATATATATATATATATATAATATATATATATATATTTTCTTTTTATACGTTATGTTAATAGACAAACAAAAAATATATTAAATAATTGTCGGACTTAATCGATTTCATATATATATATATATATATATATATATATATATATATATATATATTTCGGCAGTATGTTTTCATTAAGACATGTTTCGTTGAATAATTTAGACATGTTCTCTCTATTTATTTTCGATAAGATCCTTTCATACACGTGTATACACTTTTTGGTGTCATTATTGAAGGATGAAAGAAAATCCTCAGGGTATTCTTTATAACAAAATTTCTTACACACTACAACAATGTTATCTCGGTAGGTAAGTTTTATTTGAATAATATGTCTAACATTTCTAAACATTTACAAAAACATACCTTTCCTTCGCAATTCAGAAAAATCCTTGTTGAAAATACCTCTATACTTTTTCACGAAAAGAATAAACAAACTAAAAATTCTCGAAGCTATCTATATAAAAATAAATTAAAATTAAATCTAAATAAAATTAATTATGAATACTCCACAAATGTTTTAAAATGTTTATAATGGTTTGAAATGCCATGGTTAGCACTAATGATTTCTCTTTTTACTCTTGAACAATACGTAGTTACCTCCCTTTAAATGGTTTCAGCGGTCACGCACTGACGCAGCGTTCCTCACTCCATTTGTAAGAAATTAAACTTTCAGATAATACAACAATTTGTCTTTGACAATAAGGAATACTACAATATTTATTTTGTAATAATCAATACCCTGATGATGACAATAATATGTCGAAAGTACTAGGAAATAAAAAAAAATGTATCAACTCGGTGATTTTCTCTCGTCTTTTTTAATGACACCAAAAACTTATCCGCGATTGAATATATGAATCAAAACTGCATGATAAATGTTATTTGCCAGTCTAAAAATAACAGTGAAGCATAAAACTGGCAGACACAATGAAGTGTTGATTCCTATGTCCACACAGCCTAAAATTGTATATATATATATATATATATATATATATATATATATAAATATATATATATATATAAAAGAACATAGCAACATTTAGATTTGTTTCATGTGCTAGATGCAATCGTTAGGCCACGAGCACTCGTGGCCATTCGATTGCATCTAGCATGAAACAGACTGTCGCCCTAAGTGTTGACGCCTATGTTCACTTTTATATTTACACATGCTCTATCTCTGATATTCAGCACTTTATCCCATAAATATAGCACATGTATATTTCTTCATATATATATATATATATATATATATATATATATATATATATATATATATATATATATATATATACAAATTATTATACAACGGCCGAAACGTTGTGATATATATAATACACAGATGAGAACAATAGTCCGATTAATGTAAATAGTGAGCAAATTATATCTTGCTACGCAAATTTAACATTAGCTTCGTAACTATCAGATGAAGAAAGCAGCTGTGACACACTTAAAGCGTGAAAAAAAACCTAAGAGCAATTTTTTACAATCGAGTTTAATTACAAGAATGTGTGTTTCAATTGCAAGAAGATAGAATTCATGCTTGTTAACAAAAGGGACAGCCCAACATGCAAATTACAAATTGGAGATACCAAAATCAAAAATGCACAACAATTTAAAAAATCCTGCAAATATTTTAACAGAGGGCGGAATGTACAACACCGAAATCCGATAATTTATAACACTTGGTACTCACAAGCGGTCGCCCATCTAGTTACTGACCAAGCTCAACGTTGCTTAACTTCGGCGATCGTACGGAATGCGACCGTAAGTCTAATAATTTTTACAGCTTAAGTTCTTATGCATGTATTTGTGCCTAAGCATATGTGGTGCAAATTTATTGAAACGAAACAATTCCGTTATTATTTACTTTTTTTTCGTATTTTTTCAATAAAACACGACCCAGTGCACATATTCGTACTTAGTATGTCCATTTCACGAAGTTGTTCCTTGCAGATCACAGATTTTCGATTGCATTTAAATCTCGAGAGTTTCCCGGCCAGTCAATAGTTCTTTGATTTGCTCACTGGTAAGGTTTGCCAGTGCTTTCGTGTAGCGTTACAGTTTTCGTACGCTTGCTTGGAGTAAGGACAACTAATCGACAGTCGAGACAATAGAGTCTGGGCGTGATAAAAATCTGAAGCAATCAATGGATGACGCAATTTTCATCATACACCCCGAAAATAGATTCATATTACTGCACACCACTGCAAATGATCTAATCTGAGGAAAAAATAGAAATCGATTACACCCTGTCACTCCAGTGGGTCTAAAACTGACTGAATAGTGAAAGAAAGAAAACTAAAGTGGTTGTTTCAATTAATTTGCCCAGTGGTGTGTGTTCGTGTGTATGTGTGTGCATATGTATGTGCCTGTGTGTGTATAAGTATGTGTGTGTATTGTCGTGATTTTCTTTTTTTTTTCACCTGTGAGAATAATTAGAGCTTTGGGGACTAAATTTCGGGAAATCCCTCCTGCCCTATCGAAATGCCTGCTGGACATGCATATGCACCTGTAGCATTCTGGATAGCTGCATTTCATCCCTGCAACAATCGGCATCACGGAACATGGCAACAATACAGACCTGATTCTTTAAGCGAAATAATAAATTGCGGCGATGTTAACAATAAAAACATTTGTTTGTCCAGTCACAGGCGTCCCCGAGGCTTTAAGCGTTTGTTTTCTTTTCACTAAACCAATTAGAGTTGGCCGTGTCGTTCGACAGAATTATAAACAACTTGGATTTCTCTTCTCAGTCAGCTCGAGTGGGCGTAATTATCGACTGAAACGAAGAGAAACACATTTCTTATTTTCTATGTGCCGCGTCCCTCCAGTACGTTGCTGATCATGTCTTTCCATAGTTCCTTTAACCTTTTAGAGCTCTTAATAAATGTTGTCTTTTTATTATCTCACCTAAACCCTGTTCCGCCATCCATCCAAACTCGCTAGGTAGGTTATTCGTACTTTTCCTCTATCCCTCATGCCTGCAATCTGTCCTGTGAGTATCTATTTTACCAAACCCTCTTTTCTCATTATGTGTTCTAGAAATTTCATCCCTCTCTTCCTGTCGTCCTGGGTAAGACGTTAAACTACATCCGCGTCCTGGGTAAGACAAACTACATCCGCATCCTGGGTAAGACATTAAACTACGTCCAGCAGCAAGGCCTCTGATCAGGAGGTTTTGAGGAGCATGGAACCACCTCTTAATTGCTAGTGTTCCTAGGTCCACCTTGACCCGGGGTGGTAGCACCTGTTAGGGTCCCAGCTATAGGTAAATAGTTAACTATTACCAGCAATACTTTTTTGAAAACAATTATAATAATAAACAGCAATACAATTTCGAAGAAAATATATTACCAGAAAACAGATTTTTGACAGAACAAAATATTACCAGCAATAAAAAATTTTGTCAGCATTAAATAACCCATTGAGGTTGATATGCCATAAAACAAAATAAACCAAACCAATCTAAACCAAAGAATATATATTGTATTCATACGAATCTATCCTAAAAATGTTGTCGGCATTAAATAACCCATCAAGGTTGATATACCGTAAAACAAAATAAACCAAACCAAACCCTCTCTTCCTGATGTTAAGTAAAAGTGTACTTTGTTGTTTCCGTTTTCTCTAAAACTTCATCATTGCACTCATCAGCGGCCTATGGCATTCTCAGCATCTTTCTGTAGAACCATATTACTGTGGCATAAAGTCTCTTTTTTATCTGTGAGAAGATTGTCCAGCATTTACTGAAATTAAGAACTGATATTACATAATAGTTCAGTACGCTTTTCTTTGTTTCTAACGAAATTTTCCTGGTTCTTAATACTTTGCTTATCTTCTGAAAGACATCTTTCGTAATCCCATTTCGCGTTTGGATTTCAATGTCACACATTCCGTCCTCTGTTTAAAACACTTCCCAGATATTTAAAATTGTTGTACTTTATTTAATTTCGATATCACTAAATTTGTAATTTGCACGTTGGACCCTTCCTTTTGCTAACAAACATGCTTTCTGTTTTCTTGCAATTGAAACATACGTTCTCGTAATTAAACCCAATTGTAAAAATTTAATTCTTTACTCTTGGGGTTGTTTTTTTTTGCGTGTCACATGACCACGGCTGCTCTCTGAGGATCATATTTTTCAATCTAATAGTTACTAAACTAAGGTTAAATTTGGTTAGCAAGATTGCATTGCCTCAATTTCTAAAATGGGGAGGTTCTTCCAACGTGAGGATCTGCTGTCGAGACAATGGCTTGTGTTGCTTACTAAGCTCAGCTTAGTAAAGTGTAAGGCCTGATTTAATTAAAAATAGTTTTTGCGCCAATTTTCAAAATGGGGAGGGCCTCTTTGTTTGAATGCATTGATAGTTAATGGACGAATCTCGGTTGACCCTTAATGGAATTGATGAATGGCCCAAAAGATTGGTTGGAATAATTAAAACCTCCATGTTGAAATTCAATTTACTGAAGGAAAAAACAAAAAACAAAATCAATAAATAACAGATTGCTGGCTGTTAAGGAGAAGGTTCATTATATTAAGACATAAATCCTTCAAAGTGTTATCATATACACCTTTATGCAAATTAATTCGAATTAATGCCATTATTATTTTATTTTTTCGTATTTTTCAATGAAAAATGACCCAGTTCACATGTTCGTACTTCGTATGTCCATTCCACGAAGTTGTTCCTTGCAGATTGACCCCAGATTCTCGATTGGATTTAAATCAGGAGAATTTCCGGGCCAGTCTATAGTACTTTGATTTTCTTACTGGTAAGGCTTGCCAGTCTTGCAGTTATAATTTTCGTACGCTTCCTTAAAGTGAGATCCATCGCAAACAATGACCGTAGGACAACTAATCGACAGTCGAAACAGTAGTGTCTAGGCGTGATGAAAATCTGATGCAATCACGGATGACGCAATATTTTTCAATGCTAAACAAATTTCATCATACACCCTGAAAATAGATTCACATTACTGCATACCACTGCAAATGACCTAATCTGAGGAGAAAATAGAAATCGATTACTCCCTGTTACTCCAGTGTGATTAAAATTGACATTATGATGAAAGAAAGGAAACTAAAGCGATTGTTTCAATTAGTTTACACAATGGTGTATATTTGTTATTTGTTCTATTACTGATGTTGATCAACTGCTGATGATTTTAATATCTTTTCTATTACTGATGTTGATCAACTGCTGATGATTTTAATATCTTTTCTATTGGAGTGATACGTGATTTTTCTTGTTTTGTATAATAACTTCAAACTGCAGTGTTTATAATAAATTAAATATCTTTAAAAAAAAAACTTGTTGAAAAATTTTAACGCAAGTTTCGTTTTTACGTCTAAATTGTTTAAAATTTGACAAAAATTCTTCAAAGCGGCTTTGAATTAATGTGTTTTATGTTATTTTCATAATAGCTTTGAACGGAGAATGTAGTTCACCTCAAGGATTTATTTTTTCAAATTGGATCAAATTATTATTTTAAACCTTTGTTACTACGATGAGACCTTGTGACAGAATTTATACTGCGGGATTTTCAAATTCAACCTTTTAAAATATTATAGCGTAATATATATGCGCTGTATTTAGATGAAAGTGCTCAAAACCTATGACAGAGCTAAGATATTCAATTGTATGGATACTAGTTTGTAACCCTGTGTTTCACGCTTTGCTATTATCAAACAAATTCTTTGATGATCGCAATAGCCAGAAATCCAAGGTTATAAACTAATACCCGTACAACTGAACACACACACAGACACATATACACACACACACACACACATATATATATATATATATATATATATATATATATATATAAAAGCAAACGCTTTTGCGTAAGCCTCTTTTTGGTTAATGTTAACTTACTTTATACTAAGAGTATTTTTTTCCATATCGACAATATAATAAAATTCCCAGAGCAATTCTGTGGATATGACAAATTGATAGAAGAAAAACGACAATAGGAAAAACATCTTAGTTTTTTCCGACGCGTTTCGTCTTCCGACTTTGTCAAAACAAAATTGAAGCGAAATGTTTTTGTTTTTATAGTTACATTAAAATCCAAAATTTAAAAAGAAACGCTTTTGTGTAAGTCTCTTTCTGGTTAATGTTAACTTAAGAGACTTACGGAAAAACGTTTCTTTTTTTGTTTTTGTTTTTTTTAATTTTAATCATATGTACCTAGCAATACTTATAAATGTAAAATAAAATAAGAATTATCATAAAACTAAATTAGAATAATATTATTGCTCTCACATTTTGAATGAATTCGAACGATTATATTGAATCATTTGGTAGGTCTACTAATGAATTGGTAGGGTTACTACTACTATGAAAATTTGTTAACTGTGCCGTGCCAAAAAACTTTTCTCGTCTAAAGCCATCTTGCACATTTATAAATCTACCATCCGTCCGTATATTGAATATTGCTGCCATATCGAGTTTGGTGTTCCGGGTATATGTCTCGATATTCGCGAAAATTCCAAACGAAGTTCTGTAATTTTAGCGGTTCTGTCCTGGCATCTCGACTTCAGTTGCTTTCCGACCACCTAACATAGAGCTTCCCTCTATTTTTCTATTAATATTTTCTCCTCCTTGTCACATTGACCGTGTGAATTTAAGGGTTTTACTTGATTGGCAAAAGTGTTTTGTCAGTTTAAGGTTAAAATAGCTAGATGTAGCCCTAAGTTCTATTTTATTAGTTTCATTTTTCGGATTTCACACCTGGGGAAATATCTTCCGATTTCCCTGCTACCTTAAATATTCAAAAATTTAAATGCAACGTCAATCGCCATCTTCTGTCTTCCTGAACCTTGTTCTTTTATTGTCCTTTCTCCTCACTAAAGTCTTCTCCTTCTCTTTCAGTCTCAGTAACCCCTTGTGTCAGTGACATTATCGCTCTTCTTGAGGTAAAATGATAAAAAGAATGTTTCACAATTATTACAGACACTCTTCATGGTAGCATACAAATATTATGACAAAAATCAGAAAACTATTCGTAGTTACTTATAGAGATATTCAGAAAGCAGCTTGGCTAATGATGAAAATTTGACTTGCCACTTACTAAATATTAAGACGAAATATATAATCGCGTGTTCAAACACCTTACGGTATTAACAGAAGGTTATGAATAATTTTTTGTTTTCTTCCAACTTGGATTAACGACTGCATTATCAATGGATCTTTTTGGTTAGCCTTTAGAGAGGGAATTATGTTAAATATCTGTTATTACGCACAATGTTTCTCTCACTTTCAAGAGGATGCAAGTACAAAGCACTTGCTGAGAATAAAGATAATCACAATAGCACTAAACCTTATGGAGAATCACTCGTTGAAACATAGGTATATTCATCTTTTAACATTGCCAGGTAAGTCGGCTCACAGCGTCGTGATAACGAATTCTCTTCACCCGAACCTGACTTGCATATTTATAAGTCTACCATTTATCCATGCATTAAAAAATGTTGCTACATGTGTTCTGGTGCTTCAGCTATATGTTGCGATGTTGTCTTTGTCCAAAATAGTCAAGAATTAGGAAGTCTGTAGCCAGAGAAGGAGGGAGAGAAAGAGTATCGAAGTAACAGAAGACTGTGTAGGGAAAACAAAGACGAAGAGGTTTATTAAATACTTATACATAAAACGGAAATTTTGAGTTAATCATCTACTTCTCAAATCCTACTCTAATGTGGCTACTTGCCATATTTATGAGAAGGAACAGTCTACTGTCACAGTAGTCGTGAAGAGAAGGTACAACAATAAAGATTCTTGAAAAGTTCCAAAGAAGAATCTGCAATATTATCCGTCCTGACATGGCACTTCGGCTTCTAATTCAATTTCTTAATACTGTAATGTATCTTTCTTTTACCTTTTCTTGAAATATACTCATGGCAATTGTGCTGATGAGCTTTCCACTTTGGTATCTTAACTTTATGAATATAAAATATGCTACTAGATTGGCGTCTAGGTTTCGCCATTTTACTGATAAAATTGTTAAATGCAACCGTAAGTCCTATTCTAATAAATTCTGTTCAAGCATTTCTCACTTATAGAAATCACTTTGGACTTCTTACTTTGCTGTGAATTACAATCTAGAAAAAATTCAATTCAATATCAGTCGTCATCTCTATTTCCTTGAATCCCGTTCATTATAATGCTTGATTCATTCACACTATTGTCTTTCATCCTCAGTCTTCCCACCTTGCATCATAGTGGCTTTAACGCCTTTCTTGGAGTGAAATGATTAAAAAATGCGTGGGGCGTAAATTTAGATCAGATCTCGCTTTAGTGGTCTGGGAAACCATCCTGCTTTACTCAGAGGATCCGCCAGACTGTTCTTTGATATTTACTGAGCTGAGCTAAGACGACTACAAACCAAATGTAATGATTAAAGAGTCTTCTTTTGTGTGCTGTGTCCTTTCGAGGTGTGAGCAATCGTAACTCTCCACAACCTCCTATCTTTCTGTAAGCAATATTTGTCCCCTCACCATTCATCACAATTAATATTCTGCCATCTATTTACAAAAGCTTGTCAGGTAGATTACTCGTTTAAGTAGCCTCTTGCCTTAAATGTCCTATAAGTGTTATATTTTCCAAGCCTTCTTTCCTCATGATGCGCTCCAGAAGTTTGTACTGTCTCTGTATAAGTCCTTTTAGTTTATATTTTTCTTAAAATGTTCTCATTGTTCATAAGTTCTGTTCATGGTAATCCCATCATCCTTCTTTTTCTTCAAGTTTTCTCTTCGTCTGTGTATCTGTGTATCCAGTATTCATTGCCATATAGGAGGATTGAAATTACATAGCAGTTCGGTACTCGTTTCTTTGTTTTTAATAAAATATTTATAACGAATTTTTAATGTTTAGTACCCTAGTAAATTACCAATGTACAATAAGTATCGGGCTACGGTAGGCTACTTCAAATCTGTTTATTTCTGTCTAGAAATGGCCAAAATATTATCAACTTTGTTCTCTTTCCTTTCATTTTCATTTTTATCTTTTTTCTCTTCTCTCTTTCTCTCTCTTTCTGTTCTTCTGCTTCTCTCTTTTCTTTCTATTTGTCATTTTTGTCTTTCTTCTCTTCTTTCTGTTCGTCTCTTTTTTTGTTCGCTTTACTTTCTTTTTATTTCTCTCATTTTTATCTTTCTTCTCTGTCTTTGTTTCTCTCTTTTTCTCTTTTGTTCTCTTTTCTTCCCTTCTGCTTCTTTTGCTTCTCTTTTATCTTTCTTCTCTTATCTCTCTTTCTCTGTTTCTTTTTCTCTCTTTTTCTCTTTTTTCTTTCTTTTTGTTTCTCTCATTTTATCATTCATCTCTCTCTTTCTGTTTTCTCGCTTTTGTTCTCTTTTCTTTCTTTTTTCTTTCTTTCTTTCTTTTTCTTTCTGATTCTCTCATTTTATCTTTCTTTTCTTCTCTCTTTTTCTGTTTCTCTCTTTTGTTCTCTTTTTCTCTTTTGTTCTCTTTTCTTTCTTTCTTTCTTTCTTTCTTTCTTTTCTTTCTTTTTCTTTTCTGATTCTCTCATTTCTTTCTTTCTTTTTTCTTTCTCTATTTTTTTTTTCTTATTCTCTCATTTTATCTTTTTTCTTTCTTTTTTTCTTATTCTCTCATTTTATCTTTTTTTTTCTTTTCTTTCTTTTTCTCTCATTTTATCTTTTTTTTCCCTTTTTTTTTCTTTCTTTATTTTTTTTCTTTCTTTCTTTCTTTCTTTCTTTCTCTCTTTCTTTCTTTCTTTCTTTCTGTTTCTCTCATTTCTTTCTTTTTCTGTTTTGTCCTCTTTTCTTTCTTTCTGTTTCTTACATTCCTCTTCGTGTCTTCCTCTACCTTTTTCCATTTCAATCTTTTTCATTCATTCACTTTCTCCCTTAATCTACTTCTTTCAAGGTTTCGAATACCCTGCCGCCATAACTCACCGTTGTTCCTACGTCTGCTCCTCTTTTCTCTAATTATTCTTTTCTGTTCCCTCCACCCATTTCAATACTTTTCTCTCACTCTTTCTCTCTTTCTTTCTCCCTCTCTTTCTCTCTCTCTCATTCTCTCCCTCTCACTCTCTCATCATTTTCTCTTTTCCGAACCCTTTTCCCCCCGTTTGGTTTTAATGACTTCAGATTCAATCAGACTCTCAATTTCTTATAACTAAACCAACTGGTCGCCATCTTTTCGATTTATTTTTTCCTTTATTTAATTATTTTATTCGTGGGTTAGTAAAGTAAAAGATTTAAAAACAAAAAAAAAAAAAAAAAAAACAAACATAGAAAACCGAAAAGCAGGAAAGAAAATAAGTACGAAATTAAATCACAAATGTTATTTTAACATCTATTTCGTATAAAATTCATTTCAAATCTTTAATTTCACGATCGTAAACTCGAAAGCCATAGAAGAATTCTCCACTTGTAGGATAGCGAGCGCCCTCTGTTGGACATTGTATTAGCTGTCGGCTGCGAAACATTATTTAATCACGTGATTATTACAGAACAATAATAATAATAATAATAAAGTAACCTAAAGACGAAGAGCAAGACAGAAGAAAGTTCCACGAGTCTTATTTTGGGGAGATGCCATCTTAATTGAATAATAACGTAATTTAGTTTGTTCTTTTCTTTTAAATAAGTTGAATATAAAGTTTTCACCATAGCCTCTTTTTCATTCATTTATTTTTATCACGTGATCTCACACCACAAAATACTTCATGACATTATTGAACGAAGTAATTTTAAAGATAACCAATCAAGAATGAATGAAGTGAATGGTCTATGCAGATATCTCAGATGCTGAGCGGGTGAGTTTCCTTAATCTTAACTGATTTTATTTGAAAAGGAACACCGCTTTGGTCTTTTTTCACCCTGTAAAATGGAAGATGAACGTCTGTATGAATTTCTTATGAGGGGGTGCTGAAAAATAATCTCGGTCCATCCCACTTCCCAAAAATCTGGCCAAATGAACAAATATTTAGGACGTTGAATAAATTCTCGCTGATATTTTTATGAAAAGTAATGTTTTATTTACAAAAAATAGTAAGAAACGTGTCGCTAAAAGTATTGTCCATTGCTAGCCACTACTTTTCCCTATCTTTCTGGCAGCCTTTGAATTCCAGAAAAACGACACATCTTTTAATGCTGACCACGAGTCGATCCATTTTTTGGCATCTTCATGAGAATGAAAGTGCTGCCCAGCCAGGCCATGTGTCATCGATCGGAGCAAGTGATAATCGGACGGGGCAATGTTTGATGAATACGGTGGGTGGGATAGGGCTTCCCATTTAAGCGTTTCAAAGTAGATTTTCACCCGTTTTGCAACATGTTGCCTAGCGTTGTCATGTTGCAAAATCATTTGCCGTGTCTCTGCTCGTATAGCGGCTGTTTTTTCTTCAATGCTCGGCTCAAACGCATCAATTGCAGTCGATAGCGATCCCCCGATTTGAGCAGCTTATAATAAACTGATCTCACCAAAATACAGAGCATAAGTTTCTAACCATGGATATTCGGCCATAGTCCAATCAACTGAGCTTTGATAAACTCCGTATTTACCCGAGACCTCCCCACAAGGCGTGATGTGGCACAAATCTCATGAAAAAATACACGGGGTCGGGCAGCTGTCTATCTCCTCAGACGAGATTCTGCCTTGTCTGAACTCTCTCCACCCGAAGACAAAGAGGTCTGCAAGTAGATTATTGACAAACTCAAAGGTTTGGTAAACTGATATTTACCCAATCCTCTCCACAAGGTCGGATGTAACACAAGGTCGGTTTTTATGTGGGGAAATCTCGAGTCCGTAAGCTCTGGCCAAAATTCCGCGAAGACTCCGTAATAACGGTGTCTGGTTTGTCTGTCGCCGCAGATGAGACTCTTCCCTTCGGCATTGCCAAGTCTGGGTTCCTCACGACAAGCAGTTTTCGCAAATACAGAAGTTTGGCAAACTCTTCATATCTGCATAATTCTCATAAATATATGTGTTCAGGACAGATCCATTGACGGAGGAAATAGACCATACCACACAGAGATTCTTTCACGCACAATAATGTCTTGCGTCTTAGTGGCTTTATTGCCTTACTTGGAGTGAAATGGTTATAAAAAGTCTTTATAATTCTAATTATAACACTAGATTAACAGACTCACCATTTTACAGTTGAAATTGATTAATGTAACTGTTATGGTAATTTACCCACACACGCATAAACTCTCCTAGCTATAAATAGGAGCAGGTACTGTCTTTTGGAGAGTAAAGGTTCCAGCAGTCAGCTCTGACAGGTGGACCGAACATTCTTGCTGTAACACTCTCGTTTGTATTACTGTTTCTGTTAATATATTTGTTTAACTCAGTTCCTCTCTTGTGTCTTTATTTCTGGCCCTAAAAATGCCACAACACACACAATAACCTCTTGCATCTTAGTGGCTTTATTACCTTGCTTGGAGTGAAATGGTTATAAAAATAAATCTATATAATTCTAGATTAACAGTCTCACCATTTTACAGTTGAAATTTATGAATGTACCTGTAGGTTCTCTGCTAATAGTGTCTTCTCATCGTGAAATTTTCTTCTGGCTTTTTTCTTTCCTTCTACAGCAATCTACAAAAATGGAAGTGAACCCCAATCGTCATTTTCTGTCTTCTTGAATCCTTGCCTTTTATTAAACTCATTCTTCCTTTCATTCTCAGTAAACCCCTATACGTCTTAGTGGCTGTATCGCCTTACTTGGGAGAAATGATTAAAAAAATGTAGTTCGAACTGGAACTAAAAAGTAACAGTCAACAAAATTTAGAGTTGCATCTTCTATACTTGGAAACCGTCAGATTTAAATTTCTATTTAGTCACAAAGCTTCCATATCTAATTTGCTCCACACTCTATATAGTTTGTTTATACCAGGTAGTAGCAGACGTAAAAATCTCAAGTTGTCGGAATTTCTTAGATGAGGTGTTATGAATAACAACATCCAAAATTATTATGGATACTATCAGAACCTAAAATACCTATAACAATAATAATTCTGAAGCAAGTACATATAAAATAAACTGTCAGAATTACTCCTTACAATACATTGGGGAAAACTTAAACTTAAAAAAGTATCTATGAACATAAAAGGGATATGATACACAACAGTTTCTCAACTGCATTAGTTATATATGGAAATAAATTCAGCCAAAACTTTGATCTAAAGAATGACACACTTAATAAAAGAGAAAGTAACATGCTTAGAAGGAAAATTCTCGATAATGCTGCTAATATCTCCTTTCCTGAAAGAATTACTTCTTTCCAAAACCAACATACATAGCTATAAAAATGTTCTAAAATTTAAAAGAAAACAATTAAATTCCCAACCTCATGTTATTTAAAATGTATAACACATAAATTAATCCCAAATAAAATAATTTAAATACTAATTTGCATAAAACATTTCAAGAACATCAACCATTCACCCTTGCATGGAATACTGCTGCTATATATGGTCTGGAGCATCTCGTCTACAGTTGCTCTCTCACTGACAGACCGTCGCTTCTCTCTGTCTTTTCTACAAATACTTTCATGATAACTGCTCCCACGAGCTACATTCGCTGGTTCCCAAACTGCATGAAGTTGGCATCTCAGTTCCACCCTTTTATTGTTGAAATGGTTAAATGTAGCCTTCTATTCTAATCCAATAGCTTCATGACTCGCACTTCTCGTGTGTGGAACTCCCTTCCTTTTACTTGCTTTCTTGTTAGCTAGAATCTTCAATTATTCAAATGCAATGTCATTCGACATCTGAAGATGTCTTGATCTTGATCCCCGTCCTCCTCTTCATCCTTTCCTCTATCACGACTCTTTACTCTTACTTCCACGCTCTGTAAACCTTTGCATGCCAGTGGCACTCCCGCCTTGATTGGGGTGAAATGCTTGAAAAAATCTTTTACTCACTTTCTTTTATCACTTAGTGTCCTCCATAACTCACCTAGACTTTTCAGCTAACCTGATGAATATTTATCAGCGTTCCTTAAATTTAAAACTTTTGGAAAACTAACAATTGGATTTCCCTTGATAAAGTCTCTCAGAGGACGAACGTGTTGGTTAAGATAAATTTTCCATTTGACTTTGTTCATATTGTCCGTTAACAGATAAAGTCTTTCTTAGATTTTTACACGTTTTTGTGTCGCGTGTTTATATCTCAGTGAGAGAAAACAAATTACTTACCACTTCAAACCGAGGAAGGCGCTAAGTTCCTTACCTGATAGAAACTGTGGTTGCGTTTGCTTCCCTTTTTATGGAAGACCTCACATTGCTGGTGAACCGGAAGTTATTCAAGATTGGACTATAAATTGCCAAGAGGAGTCGCAGTGTGTGGTCGGGATGATGTAAAAAAAATGTAGCTAACGGAAGGTACACGAGTCGATACCAGATCAGTATCGGCTGGGTCAGCGTGGAGAGGAGGTATGGATTTGAAAGACCCGAAAACCGTAATGAGCCTCATCTTAGTGACATTATCATTTGGGTTGAATTGTTTGTTTTTTGTTTTTTTTTGTTGTTTTTTTTGTTTTGTTTTTTTAAAAAAAAGAACGAACAAGGTAAGTCTTTTAAGCATTTTGGTGAGTTTGGTTTGGTGTCGAAAAAGTCATTTGATTTACGATGGAGACTTATAAAGGCACTTGCCGAAATTGTGTCATATTTCGGGTACTTTCAATTGTCGTTGGTTATTTTGATAAGCGTACCAAAAGCGTCTAATAGATGCATTTTACGAAATTTCATCGTAACTTAAGCTTATCTTCTAAAATATAAACAATATTATCAACAGATTTGATTTATTAATATTATTCTATTATCCTCATCTTCATTGTCATATTCACAACGTTTCGGCCTCTATATCTCTGAGATGAGGTATTATAATGACTTGCATTATTTAAATTATTCTGACTATGATCCTCATCTTCATTGCCATATTCACAACGTTTCGGCCTCTATATCTCTGAGATGAGGTATTATAATGACTTGCATTATTTAAATTATTCTGACTATTATCCTCATCTTCATTGCCATATTCACAACGTTTTGGCCACTATATCTCTGAGATGAGGTATTATAATTACTTGCATTATTTAAATTATTCTGACTATTATCCTCATCTTCATTGTCATATTTACAAGGTTTCGGCCTCTATATCTCTGAGATGA